ATTAAATTAAACATTTCTAACAGGTGGCAACTCTTAAAAACAGTAGCCTACTTTCTAACGTAGGTCATAAGCTATCTGTGTGCAAAATTTTATGCAAGTCCGTTTAGTCGTTTCCGCGTATTAATTTAATTAAACTTTTTTAACAGGTGGCAACTCTTCCAAAAAAATTAGCCTATTTCTCACTATAGGTCATAAGCTATCTGCTTGCAAAATTTCATGCAAATCCATTCAGTCGTTTCCGCGTATTAATTCAATTAAAATTTTTTAACAGGTGGCAACTCTTAAGAAAGGTAGCCTATTTTCCAATCTAGGTCATAACCTATCTGTGTGCAAATTTTCATGCAAATACATTCAGTCGTTCCCGCATATTAAATAAATTAAACTTTTTAACAGGTGGCAACTCTTAAAAAAAATAGCCTATTAACTAATCTGGCCCACAAGCTATCTGTGTACAAAACTTCATGCAAATCCGTTCAGTCGTTTCCGCGTGATTCCCAAACATCCAAACATACAAACTTTCACATTTATAATATTAGTAAGATAAGATTATAACAAGTAATTTTTAGCAAAAAAAAACCGACTTAAAAAAAATATATATATGTCTATATATTTCATGATCCAATGATCGGATCTAAACCAAATTAGTATGGGACCACCTCTGAGACACTACCTTTCCGTTGCAAAAATTCAACGGAATTCAATGCATTCAATTCAAATTATTCAAATCGGTTGACGTGGTGCAAAGTTATGCGGTAACATACATAAAAAAAAAAAAAAAAAATATTCCGACGAACTGATAACCTCCTCCTTTTTTGGAAGTCGGTTAAAAATGTAATAGTAAGGAATAGCTCTGAATATTTAATAGCATACAACGGCACCAAAATTGAAAATTTAGGCGTAGTAGAATTGCTATGCACGTTTAAAGCAAAAACGCAGATTATCAAAGCCCAAAATACAATAACGCAGTGGCAGTGGCAGTATTTGGAAATCAGCTGTTTTTTAGAAACTGTGCTGTGCAATGAAGCGACACACAATACAGCAGTGACAGTTGGCAGTACTGCTCAGCTTAGCCCAAACTCTAAATTCACTACCACTGCCTTCATTGCAGCAAACTTCAAGTGTCGAATTTGACATAAATGAAACGCAGCCAACTTCTGTTTGTGTCACTGACAACTAAAATTTTTTGTGAAATTGGCGCGTTATTTTTGGCATTTTTGTGTTTTCCGCGGGCGTTTTGGACCTTTTATAGGTAAGTTTCTTATTTTTCAGTCTTTTATTTAACTTACAATGTATGTATGTATATATGTATAAATGTATACATTAGTTGCGTTCCACATGCTTCACGATTTGCAGGTTTCTACAGGAAGCTGTTCCAGGTGACCACCAGGTGAGAAAACAGCTTTTCCTGCAAATCCTGTAAAAACTGCAAATCGTGAATCATCTGGAACGCAACTATTATAATTTTAAAAACCATGCTTCTCCACAGGAGTGCGATGGCTGAACGCATAATAGAATTTGTAAGAGACAACCCATGCATCTACGACAAGAAGCACGGCGGCTATAAAAACCAATTGCATAAAGACCGCTTGTGGCTTCAATTTTCAAAGGAAGCAAACGTCCCAGGTAGGCCAGTAGTAGATTGTGAACCCTTTCACTTCACGTACAGATTTTATTATAATATATACATACATATGTAATAGAGGGAAATGTTTAGTTATTTGCCCACTGTTTGTGGGTTAATGAGCGGAGGGGGAGGGGTCATGGGTCTTGATATCCAACCCACTAGAAAGAGCACAGTTCAGTATTTTTAAAAAGTCACACCTGACCCCTCGAAACCTTCCACAGACCCCTGGGGAACCACTGAAAAATGGTCTAAAATTAGCATTTTTACACCGGAAATATAAACCCTTTAAACAGTATTTTTGTGCAGAACACCTTTCTCTGTTGGTTCAGATTTTGATTCTGTGGGAAAAATCATGAGAATTAGTGGTTACTGGTTGCGCTGAAAGCAGTTAGAATTTTGTTGGGCTGTGCTATGTGTACATATATATGGGAGCATCGTACGAATGCTCCGTGCGTACTCCCTTGCGAGTTTACGAATACTCCCCATTGCTCTCTATGCTTCTGTATATAAGCATACTCCTTTTAAAATTGTGGCTGCATTTCTTTATTCATTCTAAACGTTTAGAATAAACTTTTTTGTTTACTTATTCTTTAGAACGTTCCTGATGATATGTTAACGTATATTTCAAACGCATTCTGTTTATTCTGGCTGTGAAATGGGATTATCTGGAATATATAAAGAAACGCAGCCTGTATGTCCTAGGAAAGCGAGTAATCCCTTTTACTTTCACTTTTCTTTTCAGTTGATGTATTGAAAAAAAGTGGAAGTGCATCCGCGACCGCTTCTATCGGGTGCATAAAAAGAAGAGCACCGAGGCTGCGTCTGGTAGTGGGCAGTTGTCGCCAGACACCAAGTTATACAAAAACTACGACAGCCTACTATTCTTGCTGGATGTAGATTCATCGAACACGAGGTAAGTTACCACTCAACTTTGAGCACATCGCACGTTTGATAATAAAGTGGTATACATATTTTCCTTATAAAGCTTATTGCATGATAAAATCCCCAAAAACTTATATTGGGAATTAAGTCTATGTATTAATAAACGTGCGAAATGAAGATATGTTAATAAAATGTATGTAATTAAATTTCTTTATCAGCACAATTGGAAATTTCTTAACGGAGGAAGAAATTCCTTTCGATAACGAAGCATCGAGTTCATTTATGAACTTAAGCGGCATCAAATCCTCAACGCCAGCTACTGCAGTGCCTCGGAAAAGTAAGAGCAATGCTGTAGAATGTGAGCTGCTTACCACCATGAAAAGTGTTAGAGCATCCGTTGAGCGCAAGTCTGCTTTTCGAATATTTTTGGACAGCATCGCCCTTACCGTTGAAGAAGCACAATTGGATGTTTCGCATATATCGCAGTTACAAATGGGTATACTTCAACTTGTCCAATGTGAAATTAATATTTAATTATATACTTCATCATATTGCTTTTAAGCTGGATCGCCATAGCATGCGGATGTGTATGGGTGCATTCCAAAACGTCAAAATACAAAGCATCAGTCTCTTTTTTTATTAACCGACTTCCAAAAAAGGAGGAGGTTATCAGTTCGTCGGAATATTTTTTTTTTTTGTTTGTTTTTTTTTTATGTATGTTACCGCATAACTTTGGACCACGTCAACCGATTTCGATAATTCTTTTTGCATCGGAAATGAGATATATATATATATATTTTTTTTTATATGGGAGTTGAAGTCGGTTTTTTTTTTTGCTAAAAATTACTAGTTTCTAAGCTTCAGCAGATTGTAAAGCCAAATGTGCGCAACCACGGTTAGATGCTAATTTTCTAGTGCGGTTTAGAAATAAAAGAGATTGATGCTTTGTAGTTTGACGTTTTGGAAAGCACCCTATGTGTGCCTTTGAAAAATAATTTTGATTTACAAATACTTATGTCGACTCCTACATGGCGACACATGAAAACGTATACAAGTTGTATGTACGTATTTTAACTTACCTTACTATTAAATAAGTACGCTAATACATATGTAATATGTATCTTACTATTAAATATGTACGCTAATATGTAATATGTACCTTACTATACATATCGCTCATTTACTAAAAGGCAGTCAAAACGAAAAAAAAAGAATTTCTCAGGAAAAGTGTTTAAAGGAAACTGAGATTGTGACAGTCTTTTAGTAAATGAGAGATGTATACATACCCCCATGGCCAAAATAATAGAAGCGCGAAATTTTGACAGTTTTTGACCATTTTTCTTGTATTTGGTTAATGTTTATTAATTTTTTATAAACTTGGACATTTCATTATTCTTTACATTGGGTTGTATGAATAAAAAGTAAGGAACTGCTTTTTCTTAAAATTCCATACCTTTTACCTCAATTTATTTGAATAAATCGAGTTGAATTTCTGAAATTTTAGTAGCGTANAACCTTGGGTGAATTTGGCCAGGGATACCAGGGATGAAATTATTGGTACACACGCCTTCTAAGCACGCAGGGTTTGTTTTGAGAAACAAAAAACAATTTAAGCCCAAAATACAATAACGCAGTGGCAGTGGCAGTATTTGGAAATCAGCTGTTTTTTAGAAACTGTGCTGTGCAATGAAGCGACACACAATACAGCAGTGACAGTTGGCAGTACTGCTCAGCTTAGCCCAAACTCTAAATTCACTACCATTGCCTTCATTGCAGCAAACTTCAAGTATCGAATTTGACATAAATGAAACGCAGCCAACTTCTGTTTGTGTCACTGACAACTAAAATTTTTTGTGAAATTGGCGCGTTATTTTTGGCATTTTTGTGTTTTCCGCGGGCGTTTTGGACCTTTTATAGGTAAGTTTCTTATTTTTCAGTCTTTTATTTAACTTACAATGTATGTATGTATATATGTATAAATGTATACATTAGTTGCGTTCCACATGCTTCACGATTTGCAGGTTTCTACAGGAAGCTGTTCCAGGTGACCACCAGGTGAGAAAACAGCTTTTCCTGCAAATCCTGTAAAAACTGCAAATCGTGAATCATCTGGAACGCAACTATTATAATTTTAAAAACCATGCTTCTCCACAGGAGTGCGATGGATGAACGCATAATAGAATTTGTAAGGGACAACCCATGCATCTACGACAAGAAGCACGGCGGCTTTAAAACCAATTGCATAAAGACCGCTTGTGGCTTCAATTTTAAAAGGAAGCAAACGTCCCAGGTAAGCCAGAAGTAGATTGTGAACCCTTTCACTTCACGTACAGATTTTATTATAATATATACATACATATGTAATAGAGGGAAATGTTTAGTTATTTGCCCACTGTTTGTGGGTTAATGAGCGGAGGGGGAGGGGTCATGGGTCTTGATATCCAACCCACTAGAAAGAGCACAGTTAAGTCTTTTTAAAAAGTCACACCTGACCCCTCGAAACCTTCCACAGACCCCTTGGGGAACCACTGAAAAATGGTCTAAAATTAGCATTTTTACACCGGAAATATAAACCCTTTAAACAGTATTTTTGTGCAGAACACCTTTCTCTATTGGTTCAGATTTTGATTCTGTAGGAAAAATCATGAGAATTAGTGGTTACTGGTTGTGCTGAAAGCAGTTAGAATTTTGTTGGGCTGTGCTATATGTACATATATATGGGAGCAACGTACGAATGCTCCGTGCGTACTCCCTTGCGAGTTTACGAATACTCCCCATTGCTCTCTATGCTTCTGTATATAAGCATACTCCTTTTAAAATTGTGGCTGCATTTCTTTATTCATTCTAAACGTTTAGAATAAACTTTTTTGTTTACTTATTCTTTAGAACGTTCCTGATGATATGTTAACGTATATTTCAAACGCATTCTGTTTATTCTGGCTGTGAAATGGGATTATCTGGAATATATAAAGAAACGCAGCCTGTATGTCCTAGGAAAGCGAGTAATCCCTTTTACTTTCACTTTTCTTTTCAGTTGATGTATTGAAAAAAAGTGGAAGTGCATCCGCGACCGCTTCTATCGGGTGCATAAAAAGAAGAGCACCGAGGCTGCGTCTGGTAGTGGGCAGTTGTCGCCAGACACCAAGTTATACAAAAACTACGACAGCCTACTATTCTTGCTGGATGTAGATTCATCGAACACGAGGTAAGTTACCACTCAACTTTGAGCACATCGCACGTTTGATAATAAAGTGGTATACATATTTTCCTTATAAAGCTTATTGCATGATAAAATCCCCAAAAACTTATATTGGGAATTAAGTCT